TGTCCTATGGACTAAACCCTCCGGTTTATATAGACACCAGAGGGGGCTAGGGTTGTACAAAGTCGGTTACAAAGAAAGAAATCTACATATCCGAATCGCCAAGCTTGCCTTCCACGCAAAGGAGAGTCCCATACAAACACGGGAAGAAGTCTTCTGTCTTGTATCTTCATAGCCCAACAGTCCCACCCATGTATATAGTCCGGCCATCCGAGGACCCCTTAATCCAGGACTCCCTCACTGACCGCAGTCAAATTCGATTCAACTAAAGTTGGAGAAACAGACACCCGCCATCCACCTTTATGCAAAACTAGTTGCATGTCTGTCGGTGGAACCGGTCTCATGAATGTGGTCATGTATGGTTGGTCCGGGCCTCTTCATCCAACAATACCGCTGAATCAAAATAAGACATTGGTGGTAAGCAGTATGACGATCACCGCCCACAACTCTTTGTGTTCTACTCGCGCATATCATCTACGCATAGACCTGGCTCGGATGCCACTATTGGGTAACGTAGCATGCAATTTCAAAAAAATTCCTACACTCACGCAAGATCTATCTAGGAGATGCATAGTAACAAGAGGGGGAGACTGTGTCCACGTACCCTCGTAGACCGAAAGCGTAAGCATTAACTTAACGCGGTTGATGTAGTCAAACGTCTTCTCAAATCAACCAATCAAATACCGAACGTACGACACCTCCGAGTTCTGCACACGTTCAGCTTGATGATGTCCTCGAACTCTTGATCCAGCAGAGTGTCGATGGAGTCGATGAGTTCCATCAGCATGACGGCGCGATGATGGTGTTGGTGAAGTGATCCGCGCAGGGCTTTGCCTAAGCACTACAATGATATGACCGGAGGAGTGCACCGCACACGGCTAAACAATTGGTGTGCCTTTAGGGTGCCCCCTGCCCCCATATATAAATGAGGAGGGGAGGAGGCCGGCCACAAGGAGCGCGCCAAGGGGGGATGAGTTCTACTAGGACTCCACTCCTAGTAGGATTCGGCCCCCCTTTTTTCCTTCAACCGGAGGGGGAAGGGAGAGGGAAGAGGAAAAGAAAAGGGGGGCCTGCCCCCTCCCCTAGTCCAATTCGGACTCCCCATGGGAGGGGGGCGTGGCCACCCCTTGCGGGATGCCTCCCCTCTCTCCTATGGCCCATGTTGGCCCAACAATTCCCGGGGGGTTCCGGTAACCTCGCGGTACTCCGAAAAACATGCAAAACTTCCCGAAACCATTCCGGTGTCCAAATGTAACCTTGCAATATATCAATATTTACCTCTCAACCATTTGGAGACTCCTCGTCATGTCCGTGATCTTATCCGGGACTCCGAACAACCTTCGGTCACCAAAACACATCACTCATATAATACCAATTGTCATCGAATGTTAAGCGTGCGGACCCTACGGGTTCGAGAATTATGTAGACATGACCGAGACACCTCTTCGGCCAACAACCAATAGCAGAACCTGGATGCTCATATTGGTTCCCACATATTCTACGAAGATCTTTATCGGTCGAACCACAATGTCAATATAGTCATTCCCTTTGTCATATGTATGTTACTTGCCCGAGATTCGATCGTCGGGATATTCATACCTAGATTAATCTCATTACCGGCAAGTCTCTTTACTCATTCCTTAGTGCATCATCCCATAACTAACTCATTAGTCATATTGCTTGCAAGGCTTCATATGATGTGCAATACTGAGAGGGCCCAGAGATAGCTCTCCGATACTCGGAGTGACAAATCCTAATCTCAATCTATGCCAACCAAACAAGCACCTTCAGAGATACCTGTAGAGCATCTTTATAATCACCCAGTTACATTGTGATGTTTGATAGCACATAAGGCATTCCTCCGGTGTCCGGGAGTTGCATAATCTCATAGTCGGATTTGACATGAAGAAAGCAGTAGCAATAAAACTGAACGATCATTATGCTAAGCTAATGGATGGGTCTTGTCCATCACATCATTCCACTAATGATGTGATCCCGTTATCAAATGACAACTCATGTCCATGTCTAGGAAAACTTAACCATCTTTGATCAACGAGCTAGTCTAGTAGAGGCATACTAGGGACACGTTGTTTTGTCTATTATTCACATATGTATCAAGTTTCCGGTTAATATAATTCTAGCATGAATAATAAACATTTATCATGAATAAGTAAATATAAAATAACAACTTTATTATTGCCTCTAGGGCATTTTTCCTTCAGGATTATCATAGGAATTTTGAAGAATTGAAATCCATCAGATTTTTTCCTATGCTGGCCGTTTGATTCGTGTCGATTGAATCCTACTAAAAGAATTTCTAAGGCTTCCCTTGTGTTGCATTTCTAAGGAATTTTAACACCCACTTAAACTTCTTCAAAATCATCATTTGTTTTTTCCTCTAAAGAACCATTAAACACATCAAAATCCCGTAGAATTCATATGCCCATGACACTGCAATCCTATGCTTTTCATATTCCTTAAAATCCTGCAAATAAGAGGCTCTCGTAATTGATTAAGGCCGTATATATATCTTGCCTATGAGTTGAGCAACCTGGTTGACAAACATCGACATGAAGTGAAAAATAAAAGGAGAGAAGAAGTATGTTGACAGTGGAGCCCATGTGCCCTGGAAATGAAAGAAGAAAACTAATTTGTCAAAACTTCTGAACATCCCTGACCCAAAAACCATCCAAAGAGGACGCTAAAGTGGCATATGGCCTACAAACATCCCTAACCGTCGGCAAATGTTTCCTCCAGAACGTCGCTTTGGTACCTTCCTCTCCTCATCCAACTGCCTTGTCAATGACAAGAGGAGTGGGGACCCGTCCATTTCGCTTTTCTTTTCCTTAAGTATTGTTTTGGTTCTTTGGCGGCATCGACGAGGTGGCGACGGCAATGATGTGTTGGAATAAGATCCCTCCGGCCTCGACGATGTTCAATCCGGCGGTGATGAAGGCCATGTGAGAGTTTATGTCGCCAGATCTGTTGGCTCTCTTCGAATCTTTGCAGTTGGTGATTGATTGGCTGGCTTTTGGTGCGGCGATTTTGACATCTTCATCCTTGTTGTTATAAACAACAACATGGTCTGGTTTCTCCAACTCTCTAGACCGGTGGTTATGGATTACAAGCATGTAGTACATGGGGGTGATGCTCGACCGATGTTTCTTCAGCAATTTTTAGATCTCATTTCAAGCAGCGAGTGGCTATTGTGGTTTGTAAAGCCTATACAACGGAGATGTTTGCAGGTATCCTTTTCATTACTGTTGGTTTAGTTTTCAATCTTGGGTGAACAACTTACAGTCGAAAGAAGAAGAAGGGCAGTATAATATTTAATGTAATTTTATTATTTATTTATCATTATGCATCCAATTATCTTTTCGTTACTATTTTTCTTTGGATTGTACCAATTATTACTTTCTCTGTCTGAAAGAAAAGTGCCTTAACTTTATACTAATTTTAGCATAATATTATTATAAAGTTGAGACACTTATTTTGGGATAACAAGAGTATTTTATTATATTTATTAGAACTAAGATGCCCTTCGGGTGTTTTTTTTGTTACAGAAAGAGAGTGGCATATTGCCTTGCGAAACCACCGCGAGGGTTGGTTTCAGGAATTGCATGCTTTCATAGTTTGTATGTTAGTATTAAGACAAATCTTTCTTTTGAACACAGTACAACCACAAATACTCGTATATGCGCATGTACATTTAGCTCTATAAACACATGCATGCACATCCTAGCTTATATACACGGATATACACTTAGCTCTATGAACACACGTTCGCATATCATATTCCTATTAGCACCTTTGAGATGCTGAATCGGCGCAACATCTTAAGATTGACGAAATTATCATAGACGTCTCGTAATCGACGGGAACGCCTCGCTTAAGTAACCCCGAACACAAAAAAACTGAAGATCCAAAAAAATGTGAGCACCCACCTGAGCTACGCTCAATTCTATGTCAAATTAGACCCCATTTCCTTTCCATCTTGAATTTGGAATTTCCAGTCCAATTCAATTTCAAACAGTTTTTCCTACACCCAAACACAACGATAGGGCTATTTGTAGCAAATGATGTTTTTGGTCATATATACAACAAAAGAAGACCAAAATTGTCCCCAAGCGGCCTGCCTCCTCCCCAAGAAAATTCTAGGGTTCTCTTGCCTCCGTCGGTGCCTCCGCCGGTCCGCCTCGTCTTCGGTGGCCTTATGGTCATGGCGGCGTGGTGGATCTCGGCCCTTGCCGGTGGGAAGGCTCTGTTTTCAGTTGTTTCTTTGTGTTTTGTTGGGGTTTATATCCTATTCAGGAAGACGAGACGGCGGCAGCTCCCTGAAGATGGAATAAGGTTCTTCCCGCCTAGCCCTCGTTTCAATGATATGTCTAACATCATTGGTGGGCTTGTGAAGGTGTGTCTCCGATGAATCTGTCCTTGACGAATTCGCTCGGATCTGGTCGTAGTTTGTCTATGTTTATGTGTTTTCAGATTGGATCCTTTCGATTTACGTTACTCTTCATCAGCGGCGGTTGTTGTTCTGTCGCGTTGGTCCTATGGGGCCTTTAACACGATGTCGACTGTCTACTACAACAAGTTTAACCGGCTCCGGCGAGGGAGGGTAATGACGGCGGCGTGTCTTCGGCTCGCTTCAGTGCTTGTAATCGTCACTAGGTGGTCTACGGATCTGTATGAAATTTTTGTTATTTCTGATGTTCGTTGTACTGCCATAATTGAAGATGAATAGATCATAAGGTTTCTCGTAAGAAAAATACAACAAAAGAAAATTGCGGGTGATATACAACAATATATTACTCCTACATAACTACTAGGAAAATGAAACGCTCTTCTCTCACAAATATAGAAAACAAATAAACGTCCTTACACACGAAAAAAGTCTTTAAAATGAACGAGGAATAAGCTTTGCCACGTACTGCACCGGTTACGTGTAACCAAGCAGCACGGTACGTTTTCTCCCGGGAAGAAGCACACGCACGCGGTCCCCATCACGACGCCTTCTCGTCATCCGCGGTCGACATTTCTCCGTGGACCTCGTTGCGCTTAGCGTCGGGGTCGGCCTCAGCCGTGGGCTGCGCTTGCGCATGACCGGCGACGCCGAGGTGGGCGGCGCTCTGGCGGTGGTGCTTGCAGCGGAAGGAGCCCGGGTGCGTGGTGGGCGCGCAGACGCACGAGTGGACGACGGCCCTGCCCCCCGCGCCGGCGTAGCTGAGGCTGAAGAGGGAGTCGTTGGACCATGAGTTCTTGATGCCGCCCAGGCCCTGCACCTTGGGCGCCTGCACGTACCGGTACGCCCTCCGCTCGCTGTCCGTCATCACCGGGCTGTCGCCGTCCATGGCCGTCTGCCTTCGCTGCACTGCAGGCGACCCTAATTTCAGCTAGAGCCGTGCCAGAATGGAAGGGCGCCACAAAAGGTCATGGATATTGATGAATTACTCATGGTACGAACTAATAAAAGGAGTCACCGGTGTTGTGGTGATTCCCTTGCAGATAGGGAAACGATTAACTAGCAACACGAAGATCAAAGCGGAGTTGAGAGCTATGGCAAGCATGCTGCTGTACCTGAGGACAAGAGCTTGCCGGCCGTCAAATGTTGAAGGAAGAAGGGGATGGTCAAGCTTTGGCCGTCTGCTGAAATCTGCAAAACTGTGAGAGACAGCACGGAATTCCCCTATTAATAGGGGAAGGGGCAAAGGGCGGCATATATGGCACGTCGGCTGCTGGTGTGGCCTGTGCTTGTTGACTCATCCAACATAAGAAAATGCCACATCAGTTCAAACCGGCAGTTTCTTTGGACCGAGCAATTAACCAGCACCCAGGTGCACGGCCACATGGCCATCATCGGTCCAGGTAGCAACATGGGAAACTTCTACGCGTTTCAATTAGTATCAGCTATCGACTCAAAAAAATATATAGTAATCCCTCTGTAAACTAACGCAAGATGTTTTAGATACTACTACTGGCATTGGGCAAGTAAATTAATCTAGCATAGTAGTACTAACATCTACCTAAACTTCAGCGCGCCTTCTTGTGCCTTTCCTGAAGGCAAAAAAGAAATAGAAAAACACAAGATAGCCAACGCAGTCATGTATTGTTGGCCAACTTGGTGGCTGCTTCCCTTTCTTGGTTCTTCTGAATTCCATACGAAAGCACAATAATCAACTACACATTCCAAGATTCTCCTGGCTCCACGCAGCTAGGCGCTTCAAGAAGGGTCGGTAGCAGCAACAATACAGAGCAAAACAGTTCCTTTTTCCTATGACTAAACTGGGTGAACTGGCGAATCCTGATAAGCAAATAAAAATATATATTGAGAGATCAATCAACGGTGCCTATGCTCCTTTTCAAGAGGGGAGAATACCAGGTGCTCCCATCTCTTAGAGCATCTCCACTCGCGGTCCCGACAGGCCCCTCAAGGCGATTTTTTTCTTGCTGATGCCGAAAAAACCCTAGTTGTCTTCCCAGGACGCCGAATTCCACCGGTTCGGTCAGCGGTCGCAGGCCGAACCCAGCGCACTGGGAGGCGCTTACGGGCTCCGGCGGAAGGAAAAGCGACACATGGGCCACCACTGTCAGCCAAAAAACGGTTTTTGCACGCCTAGATTCCACCACCCCCCCACCAGACCCGAGTTGCGCATGCGGTTGTGTAGCCCAACGACCTGAGTTCAATTTCTAGAATTGACAGGTGATGCACAAGGGTTTTCCCCCATTTATTGAGGATCAAGTTTGATGTATGGTGGAACCACTCATCAAAAAATATCTTGATATTCATTTAAAAAATTCTGGAGACCATGTTATCTTGGTACTCATACTAAAATGACCGTATGCATCCCTAGTTGGTGTAGAGGCCGGGAAAGTCTATTTCTCCCCCGATTTTAAAGCAGAGAGAGTCTTGGCTCAGTGGTTGGGTATGCGGTTGTGCAGCCCAACGACCCGAGTTTAATTCCCAGAATTGTCAGGCGATGCACAGGGGTTTCCCCCCGTTTATTGAGGATCAAGCTCGGTGTGTGGTGGAACCACTCATCAATAAATATCTTGATACTCATTTAAAAAATCCTGAGGACCATGTTTATCTGGTACTCATACTAAAATGGCCGTATGCATCCTTAGTTGGTGCAGAGGCCGGGAAGTGAAAATATCTCCCCTTTTTTAGATAACAAATTGGGCGATGGGAAAAGCGACTGCGGGGGCAACCGCGTGCGTGCCGCCACCATCCCCTGGCGATTGACGGCGAGTCGGGGGCCGGTTCTGGGCTCTCGCTGACGCCGACGAGGAAGATGTGGACGGGGAGGTGGATGCGATCTCTCAGGCGACTCTGCCGTCGCCGACGCCATCTGACCTAATCTATGATTTTTTTCAACTCCGGCTACGATGAAGAGGAAGTGGCGATGACTATCGACAAGGTGCTGCCCCTTGACAATCCGGCTAGGATAGGGCTTCACGCGGGAGAGAAGGAGATGGTGAAGGAAATATGCCCTAGAGACAATAATAAAGTTATTATTTATTTCCTTATTTCATGATAAATGTTTATTATTCATGCTAGAATTGCATTAACCGGAAACATGATACATGTGTGAATACATAGACAAACATATAGTCACTAGTATGCCTCTACTTGACTAGCTCATTAATCAAAGATGGTTATGTTTCCTAACCATAGACATGTATTGTCATTTGATTAATGGGATCACATCATTAGGAGAATAATGTGATTGACATGACCCATTCTGTTAGCCTAGCACTTGATCGTTTAGTATGTTGCTATTGCTTTCTTCATGACTTATACATGTTCCTGTAACTATGAGATTATGCAACTCCCGTTTACCGGAGGAACACTTTGGGTACTACCAAACGTCACAACGTAACTAGGTGATTATAAAGGAGTACTACAGGTGTCTCCGAAGGTACATGTTGAGTTGGCGTATTTCGAGATTAGGTTTTGTCACTCCGATTGTCGGAGAGGTATCTCTGGGCCCTCTCGGTAATGCACATCACTATAAGCCTTGCAAGCAATGTGACCAGTGAGTTGGTTACGGGATGATGCATTACGTAACGAGTAAAGAGACTTGCCGGTAATGAGATTGAACTAGGTATTGGATACCGACGATCAAATCTCGGGCAAGTAACATACCGATGACAAAGGGAACAACGTATGTTGTTATGCGGTTTGACCGATAAAGATCTTTGTAGAATATGTAGGAACCAATATGGGCATCCAGATTCCGCTATTGGTTATTGACCGAGAATAGTTCTAGGTCATGTCTACATAGTTCTCGAACCCATAGGGTCCGCACGCTTAACGTTACGATGACAGTTATATTATGAGTTTATGAGTTTTGATGTACCGAAAGAGTTCGGAGCCCCAGATGAGATCAGGGACATGACGAGGAGTCTCGAAATGGTCGAGACGTAAAGATCGATATATTGGACGACTATATTCGGAGTTCGGAAAGGTTTCAAGTGATTCGGGTATTTTTCGGAGTACCGAAGAGTTACGAGAATTCGCCGGGGAGTATATGGGCCTTATTGGGCTATACGGGAATAGAGGAGAGAGGCCAAAAGGAAAGAGGCCTGCGCCCCCCCCTCTGGTCCGAATTGGACAAGGGGGGCAGCCCCCTTTTCCTTTTCCCTCTCCCCCTCTTTCCACTTCTCCTACTCCAACAAGGAAGGAGGGAGTCCTACTCCCGGTGGGAGTAGGACTCCCCTTGGCGCGCCCCCTCCTAGGCCGGCCGCACCTCCCCCTCCCTCCTTTATATACGGGGGCAGGGGGCACCCCATAACAACACAAGTTGATCTACGGATCGTTCCTTAGTCGTGTGCGGTGCCTCCCTCCACCATATTCCACCTCGGTCATATCGTCGCGGAGTTTAGGCGAAGCCCTACGCCGGTAGAACATCATCATCGTCACCACGCCGTCGTGCTGACGGAACTCATCCCCGAAGCTTTGCTGGATCGGAGCCCGAGGATCGTCATCGAGCTGAACGTGTGCTGAACTCGGAGGTGCCGTACGTTCGGTGCTTGGATCGGTCGGATCGTGAAGACGTACGACTACATCAACCGCGTTGTCATAACGCTTCCGCTTACGGTCTACGAGGGTACGTGGACGAACACTCTCCCCTCTCGTTGCTATGCCATCACCATGATCTTGCGTGTGTGTAGGAAATTTTTTGAAATTACTACGTTCCCCAACAGATGGTTCGTCGTGTTGTTCATCGGAGAACGGCGGCAATGGCGATCAGGCCATGGAAGGGCCCCCTCCCTAAGGTAAGTTTACCAAACCTAACCCTTTTCGATATGATTCGTTCGGAGTCTTGGATAGTAGTTAAGAGGAGAAGAAATGCTCGCGGGGCGGTGGCTGGACCGGCGCCGGCGGCGATCGCGGCGTCCACGCCGGTGATGCCGGCGATCGGGATCACGGCGACTCGGGCGCTACGTTTGAATTCTCTCCTTGGCCGCAACGGGCCAGTGCAGAGTGAGTTTGGGTCGCAATTGGGTGGGCCGGGGTTAGCTGGGTATGAGGCCTAGGCTAAACTGGTTCCCACCTATGTTGACTGCACCGACTCATGCAGGAGATTGTTCGTTCTTCGTTCGTCTCGTTCGTCCTTGCCACTCGCTAGGGTTTCTTGGCGCTGTGCGAAGCCGGGCTTCCCTTCGTGCGGTCCTGGGCGTGTGGCACGTATCCCCCCTTGTGTCCATGGCTGGCCGCGAGGCTGGTGCGCCGCTGGGGAAGAAGCCTACGGTGGCGGCTGGAGCGGGACGTGGTGTTGTCGTGCCGCCGGTTGTCAGCGCTGGGCGTGGTGCCGCGGCGCCGCCAGGACCTAGACCTTCGGTGGTAGCCGGGGCAGTGCCGGTAGCTGCGGGTCATGGAGGTGGCCAGCTAGGGCCTCGGACGCCGGTGCATGGCCCGGTAGCTGTGGCCGCTGTGGGGCGGGGCGGTGCTGCTCAAGGGCCGAGGCCGTCACCGCCCAGGACTGCCATCGCCCCTCCCCGCAACCAGGCTCAGTCGCACGGGCAGCGGCCTCGGGGTGCGCCGCCACCCCACTACGTCGCGTGGCCGCCGCAAAAACGGCCTGGGCCGATGCAGACACATGCACCGCCGCCTCAATCTGACAACGTGGGAGATGGAGGTGCGGGTTTGCCTCGTGGTCCGGCAAACCGTGGTGCTAATGGTCCGCCTCAGTTCGGGTGACGATGGTTACAATGCGTGTGGTGATTGCCAACACCGTGGTTCGTCGTCGGTGGGCGGCGGCCGTGGATATGCTTGGCAGAGCGATGGAATAGCTGAGAGACCTTTTCACGGCCCTCTGGGTGGCTTTGTGGAGGGGCCATCTGGCCC